GGGGATTAGGGGGAGAAGGACGGTTGGGGAGGGGGATTATAGGGGAGAGGGGAGGAGGGTGGGCAATGTCTGCCCTTTGGTGTTGCCTCCTCCTCCCCCTCACAGACCTCCCCGCGGACAGGGCTCATGTTTTAATGCACCACCTCCTCCTCCGATCCTTCTCCAGTGTATCCTAAATAGTCCAGGCTCAGTCATTTTTCCCAAAAACCCAAATCTTAAAATATTGTCATGCTTCGTACTCCCGGTTCCATTTATAGAATCTCCTTGGAATCGCAGAGTTACAGAGACGGAGCATCGGCTGGAAGGATGTGGGGTGCAGGGACTGAGGTGAGCGGACGAGGGAAAGGTTGGGTCGGATAGTCTGCATCTTGATTGGCGGTGGGGGTGCTAAGAGGATGTGGAGCCGTCACCTGCTCCTGCCTTTGCTGCTGTCCTGTGGGTACGTGGGTGTGATCAGCGCGGGGACTGGGTGGAAGGAGCGTGCGACCTCCTGTGCTTCCTGCAAGTTCATGTGAACCTATTTTAAAATAAAAAGAATTTTTTTTTTAAAAGGTACTGTCTTTCCTTGTCTCCCATAGTCATCCTGTTTCATCATCTTTGTTTCCTCCGAAGCAATCATTCAAAGTCATTTTCCTGATTTTTTTCTACTTAAGTCCTGTTTGGCCTTAACTCATGTCTGACTCATAGCAAGTTACCAAGAAGTGCTTTTTGGTGAATTGAGTGATTTAATGTGGGGACTTCTGGTCTGTTTTGCATGTTATCGTATAGACTTGTATCTATGTAAATGAATGGGTGTGTGGGTTTGGTTTTTATTTTGTAACTAGAGGCCCGGTACACAAAATTTGTGCACTTGGCGGCGGTGGGGGTGGGGGTGTCCCTCACCCTGGATTGTGAGAGGCACAGGCCAGACCAAGGGACCCCACAGGGGCACAGTTGGGGCCGGGGAGGGCCAGCCAGGGAGGGACTGCAGGAGGGCTCCAGGGCGTGTCCGGCCCGTCTTGCTCAGTCCTTATCCGCCAGACCCCAGCAGCAAGCTAACCTACTGGTTGGAGCGTCTGCCCCCTGATGGTCAGTGCACATCATAGCACCTGGTCGACCAGTCGACTGTGTGCCCTTGGTGGTCAGTACACGTCATAGCAAGTGGTTGAGTGGCCTTAGCATATCATTAGCATATTACACTTTGATTGGTTGAACGGACGCCCAGATGACCGGACACTCAGCATATTAGGCTTTTATTATATAGGAAAGCATTTCTTCTATAGCAGTAACTTGACCTTGTTTCTCTTTTCTTCTGTTTTAACAGTGTATCCTATTCAGTACATGTATCTGAAGACTACCCAGGTATGATTTTCTTCTTTTAATTCTTATCACAAATGCTTATGTCGTGATTCCTTTGTGTATTTCTTTCTCCTGGAGACGTAAACTGTATATCACTGTGCTTAGGGGGGAGGCGTTGGCAGGGGCGACGTGAAGACAGAAGAAGCTTGCTGATGCCTGTGAGGTGCGCATCCGATCCTGGGATGCAGTTTGGAGTGCAGATAGTTTCCCATGAGAAGGAGGGTGCTGGGCCCTGTGATAGCGCCAGCCTCAATGTTGACCTCTTTGCAATTAAAGGTTTTAAGACCTGGTTTAGTTGTTGGTTTTGGAACATCATTTGACTTTTCTTAATGTAAAAATAATAGGTAAAAATGGAACAGCTAAAATAATAGTAGTAGCTAAAATTAATAAGCCTTTCTTCATCTCTCTGAGTGGATACATAAACAGTTCTCCCAGCGCTGCTCTGTGATTGTTCCCATCATTCCCCCTTTTGCAGATGAACGATGACCATGTAGTGAAGGAAGAACTGGGTTTGAACCCAATAATCCAGAGCCCGTGATGCCCTGCAGTAGGATCTTCCATAGGCATAGCTGCCCTCACTGTCCTGAAACACGTGACCAGGCCCCCACATGCTCGTCCCTGGAGGCAGGTTGTAAGAGCCCTGCAGACCCACTTTTCAATAAAACAAACGAGCATCTTTCTTGTAGGGCAGCCGGTTCTCTAGGCTCCCTGTAAGCTCAGCAGAGCCGAGGTGCAGGCGCTGACACTCAGGTCACGATAACTTGGAGATGTCAACAAGATGCTTCTCAGGAATGGTACCCGGACTGTTATCTGGAGCAGGAGCAGAAGCAAGCACTGTTGACTTGGTGTAGCTCACATGACTGGATTCGTTTACCCCCGGGAAAAGGGTGTAATGCAAGAATCTAAGGCAAAGAATAGCCCATTTTAACTGCCTGTGTTTCACGTATACAGCGTGGAGCAAAAGTAGGTGTTCAGTTGTTTGTATGGAAAATAATGCAGAACTTAATAAATAGGAATACAAGCATAAACTGCATGTTTTGCATACTCAGAACTGTACACCTGCTTGTGCCCCTTCCTGTGTTATCTATTTCACTCCAGGATTCTTACTGAGTTCAATCAAATGCTTAACAAAGTCACTGTGGTCATCTGTCAGGGCCATAAATTGGAAACAAAATTCCAATTCCTTTTCAAACCTAGCCGTTTTATTCCAGACTCTGTGTGATTGGGATCACATTTTTCAGTATAAAATGACCAGATTGATATAAGTGACTTTGAGAATGTGTACTTTGAGTGTTTTAAAACCCCTTCCCCAACAATTTTTTTGTTAAAAACGTTTCTTTTTCAGACTAATTTTTTTATTTTGGTTCTATATAGTATTTTTGATGCTGGTTATGAAAACAGTTTGTAACTCGTCTTCCTATAAACCATATTTTTTTTACCATATTTTCTTAGTATACTCGTCGACGACTGAAAAAGAACATTTTGTGAAAACGAGTCTACACGTTTCTACCGGGGAAGGGGTTAAAAAAATAATTCGTTTATAATGTGTGAGGATGTTGTAAAACTCATTTCCTTGGTATTTAAGTTGTGTGTTTTCTGTGGCGGCTTGCAGTATGCATTTTGACTTTTAATCTTGTAAGATCAAAGTCACCTTTTAAAATGTTGTAAATCATAAACTCCTTTCTGAGAACAGGAGATACTTTATTTATTACCTTTTGTTTGGTAAGATCTCCGTGTTTTGAGCCTGGTATTTTATCTGTTGTACAATTTTTATAAGGAGGGTTACTTATTATTAAAGATATGCCTGTTTCTTTTTTTTTAAAATATATTTTATTGATTGTTTACAGAGAGGAAGAGAGAGGGATAGAGAGTCAGGAGAGTTGGAAACATCGATGAGAGAGAAACATCGATCAGCTGCCTCCTGCACATCTCCTACTGGGGATGTGCCCGCAACCCAGGTACATGCCCTTGACCGGAATCGAACCTGGAACCCCCCAGTCCGCAGGCCGACGCTCTATCCACTGAGCCAAACCGGTTTCGGCAATATGCCTGTTTCTTAATAGTAGTATAAAAAGTATTCTGGGAAGATTTTAGTGGAAGATATATTTATAAAGAAAAAATGTTTTTTTTGTAGATGATTTTGCAGTCAGCCCTTATTTACACGGATACAGAATGTTTTTGATGCTCAATGTTCGCTAAGCACGTTAGGAAAATAAAAGCCCCACTGTTGGTGGTAAATATTGTAATTATTGTGCTTCTCATCTGAGGCAGCCAAGAGCAGTGCAGGACCTTATTTCAAGGGATAGAAATGATGCCACAAATCAAGTCCCAAGTTGGAGACAGGGAAGTCTTCTGTCGCATAGGAAATGTGAAAGAGGCCTTCAATAAATCAAGGGACCCGAAAGTTTAGCTCCCTCTTGTGGCCAAGAGGTATTTCTCTTTTTCTCGCCAAATGGAACCCCACTGTAGAGTATTGGAAACACAATATTGGAAATACAATATAGAAAAATTGAAATTAAAAAAATAAAGCATTGGTTTTCATGTGTGCTTCTTAAAAATTGAATTTGTTTTTCTTGGCAGTTTGTAGTGAATTTCCAATATAATTTCATTTATAAAAAGAAAAAACTGTATAAATAAAGCCCACGAATGGGAGGGGTCAGTGTGTTCCAGGGTGGAAATTTGAACTGGGTCACGCAGCCAGTACACCGAATGTCAAGTACTTTCATACACGTAATTGAATTGACTCGAAATGCCAGTCTTTGTAGAGACAGAACTATCAGGACATTTTATACTTGAAGAAATGTGCTGGGTGAAGTTCAATAGTGTTTCCCAAGGACGTGCTGTTTGGTGGTAAAACCAAGTCTATAATTAAGCTCGGATTCCCATCAGTACTGGAGAATTAGTCGTAATATTTCCACGGAGCTTTCTTTAAAATGCCTGTCAGTATGGTCATATTTTCCCAATCATTAAATTTTAATCTACATTTATTTTCATTATGAGTACAGTTAATGTGCTTGATTTCTCAGATAGATAACATTATTTAAAATTTATATGTTTGCTTTTCCTTTCCACTACCCATACTTGTATTTTTTTCTCCTTCTGCTCTGGCTAGAACATCCAGAATTATTTTTAATAATAGATGTGAATGTTGGCAGCTTTACCCTCTTCTCAAAATTAGGGAGCGTGCTTGCAATTGCTTTCTTTCAGAAAAGGAAGTATTCCTTTCCTCATTTACCAAGCTTTTTTTTTTTAGTATTAAATTTTTATCAACTTCTGGTTTGGCATTTATTGAGAGATCCTATATGCTTTCTGTTTTGAATAACAAGATGACAAGTTATATTAGCAGATATCTTAATATGGATCTATAAGAATTATGTGCATTGTGTCATGTACTTTGTTATGAAAGACTTTGAATTGATAAAGGAAATAAACTTTTTTTTTGGCATTTGCTAGGACTTGCAAGCAAATCTTTCTGAGCCTGGTACCCTTTGAAGGATGGTTCTAGGGCAGTTGTCTTATTTGTCTGCCATGACTGATCATTGATCTGTTCTGTTTTTCTGTTTCTTCGTCATTTTTTAACACGTGTTCTCGAAAGCCTGCTGTATTGGTGAAATGTCCAGAGTTTTTAGCAAGAAGATCGTTAGCATGCAGCCTATCCATCGAAAGTCTCCCTCTTCTCTGCATGTATTTCTCCTTTCTCTTGTTTTGTTTGTTCTCGTCTTTCCCCCCCTTTGACCAATTCTGCTAATTTCCCTCAGCCTTTCCCCACCCTTTCCTGGGTTATCTGGTTCAGTGATTAGCTCGTCATCGAAGTGTAAAAATAGGGAATTTTCTTTGCCCTGCGGAAATGTGTCCGCCGAATCCTTCACATTCAGGGTTATGCGACCCTGTGTGTTCTTTAGGAACAGATTTGCCATTTTATAATGTTAATATATTAAGTAACCTGTGCCATGTTTGAAACGCCTTTCATAGTTTGCTTTGGAGAAAATGACCCCCTTGAGGAGGGTCTTGACTGAGTCTTAGGTGTACGTAATCGCATGTGGAATACTAAATGCTATGCTGGTTCTTCAAAATGCAGGGAAGGAACGGAGCAGCCGCTGGCTCACTGTCCTCCGCTGTGGAGTCTACATTGTGGCTTGTGCTTTAAAGGCTAATGGCAGTCCTGGGTGATGGGTTTGCTATAGCAGAACAGCAGACGCTTCTCATCACCCCCGCCCCCCTCCAGGCTTATGGATTCTTTTGTCCCTTTTACATGTTCTACAGGGTATGGCAATCGCCGAGGGACAATATTTGCTACTAAAAGACAAAGCATTGGTTTTTGGATCCAGTCAGTTTCACCACTACTAACTGTAGTATTACTGTTTTAATTACTTAGATAATTTGAGCAAGTTAATTTCTCTGAGCCTTGGTCTCCTCATCTTTAAAAGAGGGACAATACATTGTCCAGCATCATCTTGTTTGCATCAAAATACACTGGCCTCACACACACACATGCAGATTTTGTCACAGCCGTTATACCTGTTTAAGAAACTTGGGTTTTGATCAAGCAAATAATAAATAAATAAATAAATAAATAACAGTTACACCTGTTTAAGAAACTTGGGTTTTGATCAAGTAAATAAATAAATAAATAAATAAATAAGAGGGATAATCATTGTTTGGCTTGAGGGTTGAATGTGACATCTTATACTCGGGGGAAATATCCATATTATAACAACAGTGTAATTTCATTTAGAATTATTTCTCTTAAATCACATAGGGGTGAATAATGGAATGACTTGGCCTAATGCTGCTGCAGTTGGAATAAAATAAAAGCAACCATTTAAGGGATCATTTTCCATAGCTCCCTCTCATCTGTGCACATCCCGGTCGTGCAGCATGGTCTGGGGCGAAAGGAAGAGAGAATGGTCCTACTCCCAACAGCCTTTCACAAGGGTCTATAGGACCTGAGCACGGACACATCACAGAACCTCACGCCCTCAGCAAGTTTTAAGATAAAACAGCTGGCAGCTCTCGAGTCACGTGGGAGAATTCCCGGGAAGGGGTTTGAGTTGGGAAACATTCTCCTCTGCCACTGACCCATTCTGTTGGCTTGAGCGACCCCTCACCCTTTTGCGTCCCACGTTTCCACATCTGAACAAGATGATGACAGTGTCACAGATGTCACACAGGGTGAGGAGGATTAGAGGTCACATCTAAACAGCCACAAGAGGACACAGGGGCTCCGTGCCCCGGAGCCTGTCCTCTGTGCCACCTGGCCGCCGTGGCCCAGGCCATGGGATGAATAGGCAGACGGAAGCAAGGTCTGGGTTTGAGGGGCTTTGTCTGTCTCTGGCTTGGGCGTACGTTTGTGAGCTGGCCTATTATATTACAAAGGCGATTTAACATATATTGTCGTGGAACCTGAACACGTGGTTGGTTTGCGTAAATGAAGCCCAAAACAGAAATCAAAAGTGTTTTAGTGCCTGCATACTACCCCACATGCAAACTGGTGACAATCTCTTAGAAAACGATATGTTTAATACGTCATCCTGTCCTTCAGCATGATGCAATGTGTGTTCATTAAACTGCATTCTGTTTTCTTTTTAAAAAAATGTCTTTATTGATTTTAGCAAGAAAAGAAGGGAGAGGGAGAGGAAGGGATAAGGGAGGGAAGGAGAGACAGAGAGAGAGAGAGAGGGAAACATGGATGTGAGAGAATCATCAATTGGTTGTTTCCCACACACCCATTCTGGGCACCGAACCCACAACCTGGGCATGTGCCCTGACTGGGAATCAACCAGCGACCTTTCCGTGCCCGGGACATTGCTCAACCAACTGAGCCACACCGGCCAGGGCCAAACTGTATTTTCTTGGGTCAAATCTGACTGCCTTCCAGTGACAACACTTTGCGTAAGCCGTTCCATCCTATGTCCCGTTTTCTGAAACAGACAGTTGTGAATTTACTTGCCTTTTGATGCTTTAGGCCAGCGGTTCTCAACCTGTGGGTCACGACCCCTTTGGCGGTCCAATGACCCTTTCACAGGGGTCGCCTAAGACCATCCTGCATATCAGATATTTACATGACGATTCATCACAGTAGCAACATGACAGTTATGAAGTAGTAACGAAAATAATCTTATGATTGGGTCACAACATGAGGAGCTGTATTTAAAGGGCCAGAAGGTTGAGAACCACTGATTTAGGCAAACCTTCCTCCCTCCGTGACTCTGAGGTATTGCCGGTGGCTGTGCCCGCCTCTCGGATGGCTCTCCGTCTCCCCTGGTCGGGGCTCAGTGGTTCCTTCTGTTGCCTTAATGCTTCCTTTCCGTTCTCCTTTTCTCCACAAGCTTGCTGCAAGGAGCCCGTTGTGCACAGGGAAGAACTAGTTAAGTCTGGTCAGAGGCAGATAGCTTTGAGTCAGTACGACTCTTCACGAGGGTTAGAGGAATTTAAACACTGGCTTGAATGGAGGGCTCTTGGCATCCTTTCCTGAAAGCCCACGATTGTGGGCAGAAGAGACTCCAGATAAGCGGTCTCAACTAATGAGGAGAAAAAACAAATTTGTGTCGAATCTGTTCCTTAGTCTGTGGTTCCACTTGTGAAACAGGAAACTCAATGATGCTGCGTGAAAATGAAATAAGGCGGAATTTGTCATCGAAGTAACGAGGCAAACCTTTTGGTTTCACATCTAATCCACCCGCACGCAGGTGGCCTCTCTCCTTCCTGAATAACCGTCGCAGCCTCACGTCTACTGAGTCTTGTGTGGCTGGGCTGTGAGGACGGGGACTATCTTTCCTCACTGCTCAGGGCCTAAAAACAGTCCAGATGTTTCTTTGGAAATAAAGTGATGACTCAGATATCTGTCAGCTACAAAGCATGTTCTCGCTGCACTGACACAATATTATGAAAACTTGGCTGGAGATCTTTGATTGTGTTTCTAGATAGTCGTCATATTGTCATTCCCCTCACAAACATTAATACAGGCTTCTATTTATTGTGTGTAAGGGGTATTCTGCACCTTTATTTTTATATTTATTACTCACATATTTTATACGTCATTCAGCGTAGTATGGGGCCATTATTACTGAATTGATAACATGTTTGTTAAATAGCTGTCTCGCTTATGTCCTGTGATCGTCAGTTAGGATAAACAGCTCTGTGTTCGGTTGTATTAGCATGTACTTGAAAATCAGGATTTATCAGGGAAAAGTCCTAACTTTATAAAAAATATTTTCCCAGAGGAAACAAAAAATGCATAAGAAACAGAGACCCTTGGAGTAATGAAGTGTCCTGTGCATTTAACTTGTGTTGTACTATTTAGAGGAAATTAATTTGTAGAAGAAGAATTGGGAGACTTCGTATCAGTTCAAGAACATACCTTATTTTCGTAAAGCATATGATTGTCTAACCACTATGCTGTACCCCTGAAGCCAGTACGAAATAATATGACAATAAACCGTCGTTGAAAAATAAAAACTAAGAAAAAGAAGCAATACATACGTTAGAGTGACACGAGGGATCTGATTTACAACAGAAGCTTTGTCTCAGGCTCGGTAGTGACTTAAGCTAAGGATGGAGTCTTTTGGGGGCACCTGGGGTCCTGGTGAGCGTCCTCCCTCCGCTCTGCTTCCTGCGTGGAGAGTGGCACCGGAAAGGCCCCTGGTCAGTGAGTTGGGGCAACCTGTTGCATCCAAATGATTCGTTGCCACAGATGGGCCATTTTAGATGTGTATGTAGGCAGTGTCTGTCCCCCAGTCTGTATTTCCCTAGGAGGTGCCATTCACAATGAGTTTACACATTTATTGGCAATTTACTTCATTATTTTCTGACTTACTAGAATAGAAGTATGTGCTTCATGAGTGTTAGAGGTGATATGGATATAACTTTATACTTTTAAAAAGGATGTACTTTTTCAAGTTACTATGCCTTTAATCGTCCATACTTCTTTGCAGATAATACCTACGTGTCAAGTTCAGAAAATGATGAAGATGTGTTAGTTACTACAGAGCCAATTCCAGTAATTTTTCACCGAATAGCAACAGGTAATAGGAATACACTATTTTTTATCTTAGGTTAATATTTATTTGGTTATTAGGTAGCTTTGTGTTTGAGCCCATGTAACAGATAGTAAGTAAATCTTTAGCATTTAGAAATCTGGTTCTCCATCCAAATTTTCTATCTCAAGCGCTTTAGTTTGTTTTTTGACAGTTGTTTAAGTGCATACATTTATAGTACTTTAAAAAAGTCTTGTTTAACGGTGTCATCTTGATATTTGTTTTTTTGAAAATGTTTTCATGCATAATGACACTGCTAGACAAACTGATATTTATTTAACAAGCATACTTGAGGCATTGTAGATCACATGATATATATTGAGAGCTGAAAGCATCTGTATAGTGGTATTTCAGTTTGACCATATTTTTATGAGCAATGAAAAAAAGAATAGCTTGTTATTATGTAACTCCCCAACATAATGTAATTTCACAATCTTCTTGCAAAGGAATCACCTAAGACAGTGGTTCTCAACCTTCTGGCCCTTTAAATACAGTTCCTCATGTTGTGACCCAACCATAAAATTATTTTCGTTGCTACTTCATAACTGTCATGTTGCTACTGTTATGAATCGTCATGTAAATGTCTGATATGCAGGATGGTCTTAGGCGACCCCTGTGAAAGGGTCGTTCGACCGCCAAAGGGGTCGCGACCCACAGGTTGGGAACCGCTGACCTAAGAAGTATTTTTATGCTGAAACTTATGAATGTGTGTTAATAGTATACTAAAAACTAAAATGATTTTTTTAATTTATAACTTTCAGAATTAAGGAAAACAAATGACATTAACTGTTGCTTATCCATAAAATCCAAATTACAGAAGGAAAATGGGGAGGTATGTAAATTATATTTTGTATTTATTTTAAGTTTGCTGTGTATTTGTAGTCAGCAGCATCATTGTTATTTAGGTTAAGGTTGCAAATAGTGAATGAAGCTCAAACCCCGGGTCTTTGGGACTTACTGTGTGGGAAGGGGAATGGCCTAAATGAACTTAGTTTACGGTGGGACAGAGGGGAATGGGACTTAGGAACCTCAGGGATTTAATTCCATGCAAATAGAAACCACTCCTTCTCCTGTATGAGTCTCAAAAAACTCTTTTTCTGGCACGATTTCCACTCCCACCAGCGACTTGACGAGGACTCTCCCCTCCTTCAATGACTACACACAAGGTTTCACGGGTGAAAGTGACCCTTCAGCTGAAGTAGCAGAGTGTGGGTACAGGCCCCCTGTGATTCTCAGCCAGTGTTAACTGCAGTGAACAAACTCACCCTTCGAAAATGTTACCTGAGGCTGTGAACACGGGGGCGTTAAACGGACAATGAGTGCGATGGAGCCATCGGTTCTTGGCTTTTAAACGATGCACTCAGCACAGCGCGTTCACAGTTGTAGGGTTCACCCTGTCCGTCCCCATCCCCCCTGCGCACCACGGCGTTAGCCATACGGTGGCCAACACCGCAAGCTGGAGCGTTTCCTCAAACCCAGTGCTCATTCCCAGGTTTTTGTTTTCCTAAAGAATTTGAAATTTGGCCTGGAGATTCAGGCATGATTATAAGACATTGGGTTAATAGACTCTTATGTCTGAAGGAAGCCACCTTCCTCCTTATTATTTTGCCGGAGCTGGGAGTAGGGATAGTAACTATTGGTAACCATGAGTTCATTCAGATGAATTTCCATTGTTTGTACTTTAGATACATTACAGATGTGGGTTAGTTGATTAGAAGCTCAACCTTCAAGTTCAAGCAAATTCAATTAAATATCCTTTTGCATCTGCAATTGAAAGCAGTTTCTGTATTCTGAAAGGTCGTTTTATAATGTGATTCATATTTATTTTCATAATTTGATTTTTTAATTATTGGATTCAAAGCGTCTTTTCTTTCACACCATTGTGTAGCGTTGGCAGTGGGAGTGAGGACCGCCTGCGATAATAATGCTGGGAACCTTTTTAATAAAAAATATTGAATCAGTGCAAATGAAAGCAATACAAAATAATACCGAATGCAAGCTGTAACTGAAAACTGAAACTTAAAAAATTGAATCAGCATGATACTGTCAGCTGTTTTATCAGAACAAATTCAGAGTTGTAATTGCTTATATATAGTTTCTTAGATAGACACAGCACATTAAATTGTACACATCAGGATAAGCCAAGCAGAACTTTAGAAGGACATGTGCACAGAGCTGAGTGAAATCCCCACACCGTCTCCTCCTGTCTGTCGGGTTCTTGGCTCATACGCACTAAGAATGTTCTCGTGTAAAATCTGGGGGGCGTGCAGAGACCCACCTGCTGTGGCCACTTGCTACTTTCTTTTCAGGAGGCAGGCTCGTCCGACCACGGAAGTAAATTGTCTCCTTGCTCTATTCTTTTAAGGAGTCGAGACAGAATAGTGCAGTGGAGGAGGACTCGGAAGGAGATAACGACTCTGAGGAGTTCTATTACGGAGGACAGGTAGGTGTGCCCGGGTCCCCGGCACCCGCGCTCCACGGAGCGATTCCGCCCGTGTCCTGTGGACGTCTGTGCCTGCGCTCCGCGAGGCCACGCGGCCTCAGGGCCTGTGGCTGACGAGGGTGTCCGTACGGCTCGTTGCGTTCTCCTGTCCGACACTTTTCAGAGCTAAAGTGGCTCTTGCCGTTCTTCGACGGTCATTGTTCATTGACCTTGACACTGTTTTGCTTCTCGATCGTGACTTTACACACAGCACTTCCTTATGCTTTTGACTTACGGTTCTTAAGCACACGGTGCTCGGTCCGTATTTTGAGACGACGACAGCTCTAACAGCGCATGGGTTGGCAGTTTTGAGTAGAAGAGGATTAGCCTTTGTAGAAACCGATGGCCCTAAGGGTTGAGCACCCCAGCATTTGCATCCCTTGTCTTCCTTGTTCTCTAATACGGATGTCTAGTGCTTGTTGAAAACTCGTTAGGAAGAAAGCTCATAATGTACGGACATGGAAACGGCACGGCCACGTAGGCGCACAGATAAAAGCCTCGCTCTGTTGGTCCAGGAGAAGGTCAGGATTTTCACGGGGCGGTCAGGGTTAGGACACGGCCGTATAAGGTGGCTCGTTCTGTTTCTGTCAACTTCTCCATCACTCGGCTTCGGAACCTGGATAGAATAGTGAGACGGTAACGTGTTAAAAAGGCTCTTTAAAGCCAATGTTGCTATTACACGAACGCATGCAGGTCAGCTTGTTCATGCAGGAGGAACAATCAGTAATTCGTCCGCGAGGCACCTGCCAGGCAGTGGAGATAGGACGCAGGTGAGGCAGCGTCTGCTCGCAGGCTTGCCTTCCCAGAGAGCTGCTCTGTGACCCTGTCGCACTGACGCTGGGCAAGACCGTTCCTCCCGGGCCCACATCTGTCACACGGCTCCGTGCCCGGGGAAGGGCATGCCTTCTCCAGTCTAGAAATTCCGTCTAGGAGCTTCTCAGATCACCTGCCAGACACTCGCTTCAGCCCTTTGAACATTTGCACTTTCTTCAGCTCAGAGTAGGCTCATTTGACTTTTGAGCGCAGTAAATTACCCTAGACCCGTGGTCGGCAAACTGCGGCTCGCGAGCCACATGCGGCTCTTGGGCCCCTTGAGTGTGGCTCTTCCTAAGCCTTAGGAGTACCCTAATGAAGTTAATAACAATGTACCTACCTATATAGTTTAAGTTTAAAAAATGTGCCTCTCAAAAGAAATTCCAGTCGTTTACTGTTGGTATTTGGCTCTGTTGACTAATGAGTTCGCCGACCACTGCCCTAGATGTATGTGAGCCTGAGAGCTTCGGAGGATATGCGGCCGAATTACCTGTATGTGTAAGCGAAGGTGACAGAGGAAGGGCCACCCCCAGAGCTGCCCAAGGGGTGGGCGGCTCGGGGTGGGTTCTGCCGACACGAATCCTCACCTGGCCCCTCTGTCCCCCTCCCCGCAGGTGAACTACGACGGGGAGCTGCACAAGCACCCGCAGCTCGAGGCCGACCTGTCGGCGGTCCGGGAGATCTACGGGCCGCACGCCGTTTCTCTCAGGTAAACCGACGCCGCCGGGAGTGAAAGTGACACCCGTTGTAAGGCGTGGGGGCCTCTGTGGGAGTTGTCTCAGCGGACGTTTTCTTGGGCTCAATGATATTGGAAAATATTGGGGCGATCTAGCGTGCTCCTGTGTGTACAGGATGGCATCTTCGTGCCGATATGGGTTGTGTGTTTTTTGTACGTAGTTTAAGATTACATCGACGGCATTCAAATTCGTTAGTTAGGAGAGCTAGTTTTGATAAGACCTCAGTCTTAAGTCGTGTCAGTGAGTTCCGATGATAGATTGGGCCAGCTGGGCCCATGCCGTTACCATCACACTTCCGTGGGAACAATACAAGGAAATAACGCATGCCCACTGGTAACCAGATCGCACCGGACTCTGCTGCCTGGCCCCTCAAAACCAGGAAGGAAAACCCCTCAAAAACATGCACAGTGTTTATCTGAAGGGTATGCGTTTTATTCTGCGGTCACTAATATATTCTCTGGTGATACATTTGTGGACCGTTTTTATTCGTTTTCATCGTTCAGAAGAGCCCACCCTCCTTCTTGGCCTCTCTTTTCTCTCCTTGATGTGAGAAGACCTCCCTGTACGCCCTGGGGGTGCCTCCCACAAGCCAGCTCGACGGCTGCAGGTTCCGGGTCTTTGCCCAAAGGCTCGTCTCCCAGGCCCGTGGGCTCCAGGCCTCCCCGGCCTTTCCCCCCTGAACCCGAATCGGTCCAGCCGCACTTCTTCCACTTGACTCCGGCCATTTGCACAGCCGTTTTCCCTCTCAGCCCCGCTGTAGTGTTCACTCGGGCCCCTGCCAGCACGCAGCTCTGCCTGGAGCCTCCTGGGCGCTCCCATCGCACTGGGCTCGGCCCTCCCTCCCTGTCCTCCTCATGCCTGCAAGGTTTGGCTTTACCTCCTCCCCTGGAGACTGACTTCTGTGGGTGCTGGAGCGATGCCCGCTTCTGGTGTTTGCTGTGTTTTGGTTGGAGTTCGGTCCTGCTTGCATCCTGGCATTTGGTGTAGCGTGGGCCTGTCTGGAACTCAGGCCGTGGGTCCTGGGCGGTTCCCAGTGGCCGCCTCCCTGCCCTGGTTCCATTCTCTTCCCTGGACACAGCCAGGTTTTGGGATCGAACGAGCGCTTTCCGTGGGGAAGTGCAGCAGCTGCAGTTGCACCCGAATTCCAGATGCTTCGCCTGAACTGCAGAGGCGGAAGCCCAGACCCCCTGCAGCCGCGGAGCTGGGGCCCTAAGCCCAGACCCCCTGCAGCTGCGGAGCTGGGGCCGTACACCCAGACCCTCCCTCCCGCTTCCTGAGGCCCAGGAAGCCGAAATGGAGCGAGAGTGACTATCTGGGAAAAGCAGATCTTTACAATTGTCCACGTTTTAGCAGATGAGCTGCGATCATTTCACTGCTGCTCCCTCCTGTGGCTCCGGGGAGGGCTGTTCTTGTTGCAGAGCGAGGAAGCGAAGGAGGCAGTAGGAACTATCAGCAAGTCCTCCAAAACAATGACTAATCTCTTAACGTCAGTTGAACTTTGCTTGAAAGCTTAAAACTCTAATTGCATAACGTAACCCCCTCCCCCACTGAAAGGAAAAAGCTGGTGGGATAGGATTAACCAAACCAGACGGCAGGAACTTCAGTGTCTTCCTTTGAAGCATGCGGTCTTGTTGGAGGATGACCTTGGCCTATGTTGACTGCTTTCATAGGTCAGAACCTCTGAAAACACCTGATTTCCATGCTGCCTAGACCTCAGTTGTACTGTCACACCCAGATGGCATTGTTTGTGTCTCCTTTCCGCCAGCATTTATGAAACACCTAGGGTAGTCTCTATCAGTATTTCCCATTATTGATGAGATATGGATACTGTATCAGCTGTTGAAATTAGATAAGTATTTGGAACTTTATTTAAATGAAGTCATAAATGGTTGTGCTTAATCTCCTCCTTCCCCCCGCTTGCTTATGTCACTTATCCATTTTGATCCCATTCACATCTCCATGAATGCAGGCCCTGTTCTCGCCTGCTCCAGGTTTCCTCTAGAGTCTCTCCAGCTCCAGAGGGTGTTTCCAGAATTAACAGCCTCCCAGAGGCCTGATGACGTGCAGGTGACTCCGCAGGACGAGTGTGATTTGTTCAAATGAGAAGGGATGTACCGTCTGCTCCCAGACACTGAGGGCTGGACACGTGGGAAGAGGGGGTCAGGCCTCACGTCTGGGCCCATCTTCCTTGTGAGGTTCCGAGTCTATTGAACACAGGCTGTTCTAATGAGCTGTTCTTTCACTTAATTGAGGTTTATAAGAACTTAATGGAGTTTGAAGAGCAAAAGTACCTCAATATGCATAATAGGCTATTTGGTGTCTTCTTTTTTTTTAATTCGACATCTAATGAGGGGCAGCTAAGCACATCCGAGTTCTCTGTAAGAGCCAGTCGCCTCCGTGGAGGCAGACCCGGCGGGAAAGGATGAAGGGGGGACAGGAAAAACACCCGAGGATGCATTTGTGAGAGTCAGCTCTCTCCGCCCCGCCCAGCCGTGTCCCTAGCAGCGCTGGTTGTGCGGAGTCACCCTCGTGAGCCGGTGACAGCTCTGACTCGGCTCCTGTGGGACAAAGGTCCGTGTGAACGTGATTAACCCGTGACTAGCCCACACAGGCCTCACCGGGAGCCCTGCTACAGAATGGGGACGTTTCCTGTTTTCCAGTGAATTTACCGCATAGGCATGTACTTATAAAAAAAAACTCGCTTCGTGCCATCTGAGAGCCACGTGATCAATACCCTTAGGAAGGAAGGACTTACAAGCCTCGGGACTCCTGTGGGCCGGGAGGAAAGGGATCCTGATCATTTGCCCGCGAGGTTTCAGACTCGCACCCCATAGACAGTGCGCTGTGCTCTGTGACTTGCCCCCTCCCCTCAGTTCCAGTAAAAGGAGAACAAATGGGCAAGAATTCTAACACAAATTGCCCTAAAAAATACACGTTCATAGAAAAATACGTTCCACATACACGGTGGGCAAAGGAGGCTTAGAGTGTGAGCATGCGGAACACAGTTTATTCCTGCGTTGCTATTTAGTCCTTCTTGTCGTATTTTCCATGCGAACAACCATCAGCCTGCTCTGCTCGCCCTGTTCTTGGATCAGTAGGCCACTGAGCGCCCGGCGTCAGGGGGCAGCCTGGACGTTGCACTGGGTCACGGACCCGCGGGCAGGTCCTCTCGGCCCCGAGTTCCAGACGACAGGGCGCAGCGGGTCCTCCTGGGTCCCCCTCGTCTGCACATGTGTCCTGCCCTCCTGCCGTCACCCTCCCCGGGGATAAAGGCGGGTGCGCACGAGGTGCCGTGGGTCCCCGTGAGCCCACGCCGGCCTTCAGACAGTCAGGCCCCTGGTGTCATGGGTCAGCTGCGCCCGCAGCTCACGGTTCACCGCTGCGTGCGAGGCTCGGAAGCGACTTGGATGCAGAAGCGGCTGGGGGCCAGGGGAGCCCTGGCCTCGGAGAGCAGGGCAGCGCGGGGAGCTGCACACGCAGGGCCCTTCCTGGTGATGCTCTGAAGTGAGGCCTGGCAACCAGGGGAAGTCTGGGCTCGGCACCTGCAGCGTCCAGTTAATGGCGAACCCCTAACGCCCGCCTTAACCCCCCGCCTGCTCTGCTGCGCGGATGGGGGGCCTGGGGACCTTTAGTTCTTCTTCTTCTTCTTCTTTTATTTTTTAAAGAAATTGGTAGTGTTAGGAATTGGGAGGATACTGACTTTTAAGAAATGTAAGGAATGCTTTAATGTTCACACAGGAAAGGTTGTGAAAAGGCCGTATGCGCCTTCCGATTCATTTCTTCAGGATAAACGTCTGTGGCAGTGTCCGGACATCTCTCTACGATGAGGACTGTGGGTCGGGTCCTTCCGGGTCTTTCTTTCTGGTTTACCCCTGTCTGCCTCTCAGCATCCCAGGCCTGCCATCAGCAATAAGTCCCTGCAGAATTTATTCTTCCCTGCGCAGCTGGCAAAGATGGGCCAAAAGAGGAAATGTCTTTCGCTGATGGGGCTGCGGGGAAGGGTCCGTGTGAAAGCCTGGCTGATTTCCTTATAAAGTGTGGTAACCCTTTAAAACAGCACTTAAACACTATGTGTAGCGCAAGACTCCCAAGGATAGTCAGACCATTTGTTTTGCTCAATAATTCTGGAAATCGTTCTGGGAGAAGACAGATGCATGCAGATTTTTATCCAGGGACCTATTTGTCAATATTTTTAGTGTAAAAAAAGAATGGAAAGCAACCTAATGATGTATTATTCAATTTTATTTATACAAATAGAGCCATTTAAATGTAAATTCAGAGCAGTTTAGAAAAATACTCTCCAATATAGAAACAGCACTCAGAAGAAGTGAAAGAGCAGGACAAAAATCTTTCCATGTTATATTACCCTTAATATTTGTATATATATGCTGTATGATATAGCATGTTACCCTCAGTATATTTTATGTTATATGATATAGTATGTTACCCGTAGTATATATTGTATGACATAGTACGTTGCCTTTAATATATTGTATGTTATATGATATAGTATGTTACCCTTAATATAGTCTCTGAGTTATATGACATAGTGTGTTACCCTTAATATAGTCTATGTGTTATATGATATAGAGAGCATATGGGAGAGACGGGAGTGAGACAGAAGCAGAAGGGAGATCTCTGAATGGTGGTGTTACAAGTTCCTTTTTGTTTGTTTTTCTATTTCTCATCTAATATAATGAGCCTCTGACCTTTGTAATCAGAAAAAGTACACGTTTTTAGAAAATACATAACACATTTATAAAGTAAACTTTACCCACGACCTACAGTTGATATATACGTACTCTTTTTACTTTATTGGTTTTCCTATTTGTATTTTGTTATTAAAAGGTATTTTAGTTCCCATGCTTTTTGGCGCTCCACTTGCTCCGTGAGTAGTATATTTGAACATTTCCCGCAGGATATGAAATATTTTCATATCCACTTTGTTAGTAACGGGCAGTTGTAAAAAACTGCGTCAGTGTGTGCTGTTCTTTAAGTGTTTCCTTATTCTTCAGTATCCATCTCCCCCCGATTTCTGCTGTCACGTACGTTTCCCAGGTGGGAGTGGGCGCGGCTGTGGTTGGGGGAGGGCTGTGGTCCCGGCTCCCTCCCCCGCAGGAGAGCCTTGGAAAGGCCTCGGCAGTCTGTGCCCCTCATCGCATCTCCAGGCGCGCTCTCACGCCTCACTGTGCAAATTCACTTCCTATGTTTACGAGTAACGTGCCGGAGGTCAGGGTCAGAACATCATGGCCACTAGCTGCGGCCCTGCCAGACAGCCCCTGAGCTCCGAATGGTGGCGCTTTTTTAAAGGGTTGTGGGGGGACCCACACGGCCAGCAAGAGGAATGCGTGGCAGCGAGTCTGTGTGGCCTGGACGCCTGGAAGAGTTACCCTCTGGCTTTTCCAGGAAAGTTTGCTGAATCCAGAACAAGAGGCACAAAGAATGGTTCATGTGCTTGCGCTTTAGTCTTGTCTTTGTTTCTGTCTGATTTCATAACTAAATTGGCATATTTTTATATCTAAATTTGCATATGGTTATACAGGTTCTTACTCTGAAAAACACAGGTGTTGTGACCCAGGCTATTTTAAAAATGGCTGTGTGAACAATTGTTAGCCTTTCTTTTAACCTTTAAAAGGATTACTAGGAAAGAATGAAAAGTTCAGTTTTTTAAATCATGAAAATGTGCGCAGTGTTTGCATATATTTTTAAGGGGAGCATGCAGGAAGCGGAGAGGCTAAGTTATACATAAAATGCTGCAATTTGTCCTACACCTCAAAAGTGAAAGGACTGCCTGGATTCTTTCATTCATTGAATTCCATGAACCATTTAGTCATTAAAAATGCTTTCTCCGAATCCTGTGACAGCGCCGCAATGTTGTACTCTATTAGCATTACCCGGATGGACATGTGATACACGGCATTTTCATCGCGTACTTAACTCTGTACCGGGTACTGTGCTCAGCAGTGTTGAGGTTGGGCATGAGCTCGGTACCTGGCTTTCCCACTGACATTTAAAAAAGTTTATTGTTGAAAGTATTAGAGGTGTCCGCCTTTCCCCCACTGACCCCTCCACCTCGCTCCCACCCCTCCCAGGCCATCACCACACCATCGTCTGTGCCCCTGGGTTGGGCAGAGATGCATCTAAGGCCTCCGCTGACTTCTTACCTGCCCTTTGGCAATTTGTCCCTCCCTAGACCTCAGTATTCTCATCTGCAAATGAGGACGGTAATGGGATGCTTGTGTGCCGGGGTCCAGCCCCAGCGGGTCCAGGTTGGCAATTTGTCCCTCCCTAGACCTCAGTGTTCTCATCTGCAAATGAGGACGGTAGTGGGATGCTTGTGGGAATGCGATGGTGAGACCCTAATAGGATCCTCCCTTACTGTCCCCCCTGGTTTCCAACACAAAAGGTAGGTGATTGAATATTGAGCTGATGAAGCACCTGCATAAATGAATAGGACACACGTATTCAAGTCCCAGCTCCGTGCAGAGTGAGGGGGGCCGGCCGGCTCCATCACTTGGGGCCGCGGTTAGTGCATCTGGGAGTGAGTGCA